ATCACACTTGACTTCACGCGTCTGGCCAGGTCCGTCGGTAGTCTGTCGTGCATCGTGCCGTCAATGCTTGTTCGCGGTCGACACGAGCTATTGTAGCTGTGTCAAAGTCTGCCGGGCGACCCTACTGTAGAATGGTTGCTTCTCGGCGGAAAGTCCGTGCTGTTTTGGGCTTTGCGCGCCTTGCTTCGCTAGGTTGGTTTGGTTGATTTGCGTACCACATCAACACTGAAGAGAGAGAGAATAGACATGTTGACGAGCGAGGAAAGCGCTCCCGGCTGTGTCACAAAGTTGTCCGTGTTTGAACGTATTTTGTGCCAAACAAAATGATTCGGTGAGGAAGAAGCACATCTACTGTACTGTACTGTACTGGTTGCTTCGTTGGTTAGCAGGGGAAGTCCGCCCGATTTTCTCCAACTTCCCCTTTTTTTCGTTATCATCCACTTCACCCTCCCTCCCTCCCTCCCTCCCTCCCTCCCTCCGTCCTTCCGTCCCGCCCACGCTCCCCTTCAACCCAAAGCTGCCTTGTCCAGAGTGCGAGTCTTGCCGAGTCGACGGCGTCGTTGATGACCTAGCTAGGCCGACACAAGAGACAAGATCACGTCGTCAAGGCACTTCCAAGGCCGGAAATGCCGGCGAAAATATATCTAAGTTGTACGCAGAAAGTAGGTTCATGCAGTCCGGGTTCCAACCAGAGTTTCGCGCTGTCTTTCTCAGGAAACAGGAAACAAGGGGGGGGAAAGGCCTGCACTTATGGCATGCATGATGTGAATATACGACGCCGTCCCACACTGTAGAAGCACAACTTAGCAGCGCTTGATGGGTCAGCCGTACAGAGTGGCGAGAGGTTTGCACAACCGAATGGGTGGGGTGTCGGCTGGGGTATGTACAGCAGTACTCGATGTTTTTGTTTTGTTTTGTCCGGGTGAGATGCGAAAGGTTAAGGTTTGTGCAAGCAAGAAGCGCGTGTATATCGGCGTTCGTTGGGTAGGGTGTTTGTATTGTACAGGGGTACAACAGGACGACACGGACCGGTGAAATAACCTCTTGATAGAAAATAGAATGGCATCATTGCGCAATGCCTGGGACGGTGTTGTCGAGGGGGTTGTTCGGATGACGCTGGAAACTCGTAGGGAGTGTCTCGTGATTGAGGAGTACTGTAATTGAAGCCTATGCATTGATTTGACAATGAACCGGATCGACCATCTTCTTGTTGGAGTGTGGGCACGTGTCCCGACAACTATTTAGCTGAGTAAGGTCGTTCGTTCGTTCGTTACGAAGGAGTGAGTGCTGCTGTATTCATACAAATAGGATGCTGGGGAAAATACTCCTACATTGTATAGGAGCGTGGTTCCGGCCTTCGCTCTCTCTTTTTTGTTTTTAGTCCAACGGAGTTTTGTTCCAAGCGATGGTTCCCTCCCGCAGTGCCTTGTTTTCCTCACTCGCAGCACTATTAATCTATTAATAGAACCGTTTGTTGGTTCTGGCTGTCTTTACGAGGGCGGGCATGCATGCATGTGGTAAAATTGCCGTCATTTGGTGACAGTCATGTCATGTCATACTACGTGCAGCTCTTGCAGTGATGATGCGAGGAGATTGCAGCAGTCTCTTCCCTCAGTGTACACACGAACTCGCTTTCCACCCAGGCCAGGAACGGAAGCGAAAGAAAAACTCACTTTGCAAGAAAAATTCGCTTGCGCCGGGATTCGAACCCGTGACCCTGGCCACAGGAAGGTTTTCGAGGATGCCAACTGGACTGATTACCGAGGCGACTGAAATCTAGGTTTAATTAGAAGGGAAACGGCGGTGGTCCACAGCAAATCTCCAAGAGTAACGCAATCCCGAAGCTAGCTCTCGCCTAACCCACTACAACGTATGACCAATCGTTTTTCGCGGTGCGGGAAGATGTCGGAAAAAATTAGGGTAAGGGGAAGCGCTTGCTTGTTCGTTCTCTGTTACTGTTGTGCTTCGTTCGGTCTTCTTCTGTGTTTCTTTATTCCTTATCGTACAGCAGAAATTCCATCTCTGGTGAAGGTTGTCATCTGTAGCGCAAGTCTAGGGATGAGAATTGCCAGAGGGTCCCGACCTTCGTTTGGCCCAAAACGTACTTGAACAAAGAGCGCCGGATGGATGCGCCAACGACCTAAACTAAGCAAGACACGTCAGTCTCTCACCCGTGGTACGCACACCACAGCACCACGCACTATCATTAATAGTAGAAGCGTGAGTGAGTGAGTGTGCCTACAGTAGTAGTAGAAGAGCGGATGTTGCCCGCACTCCCGGCCACTTCCGGCTGGGATGAGAATAGAGGGCTTGGTGAGAAACAGGAGCCAAGTCATTTGTACACCAGGCCTGCCAGTAGATCGGCAAAAAAGTATGTACTGAAATACAGGCGCGTAGTCCCATGTTGATACTATTTTCATTGGTTGCCTCTTCGAGGCCCAAAACCCAAGACAAGACAAAAGGACCAAACAAAGAAACGTGGATGATGTTAACGAAACATCCAACAAGGACACGGAAATTACGCGAAAGCCCACGACAACAAAACCAACCAAGAAAGTTAAGATAAGACCCCATGTCTTCTTCTTGCACGCTACCATCGCACACACCACGTACGTGGGTACGTACGTTTCCGACCCCCTCCGCCCGCCACAATTTACTATCGGCGTCCATCGCGAAGGCCGCCCACCCCCCGCCATGGAAGGCAATTTTCGATACTCCTACTACTGTACTCCGCACGAAAAATAAAACTAGAACAAAGATTTTTTACTGTACTACTCCCGATGCTTGCAAAACAGAGCACGCTGTCATCCCCCAAGGTGTAAACGTCACCACAACACCCAAAAGAAACTACTACCAGTATACTATACTGTACTGTACTGTACTGTAGGACACGGACGACACGGCTACAGCCACCCCGCCAGATAGGAGGGTGATACAATTCCAAAGCCGCAACCAACAGTCAAAGCGGCTCAGCAGCAACAGCAGCAGCAACAACAACAACGTACCGGTGCGCAACGAGCAGAGATAGATGAGTTCATCCAAGTGCAAAGGTCAACCAACAAACGTAAACTAAATGGTGTAAATGAGCTTTTAGCCAACGTGAGTTTCCCTGTAGTTTGTGACTTAAATTTTGTCGCGGGAACGGCGGCCAGACACGAAAAAAAGAAAAAAAAAAAAACGATCGACCACACGATGCACGCAGGCAGGCAGGGGTACACTGCTTGGCAGGGAGGCGCATACACGCACGGGGCGGCTTGCGGGCTTAACAACAAATCGCACGGCTTCACGCCTCATCTACATACATGTGCTGATGACGTGTAGGACATCGAACGGCGGGTTTCCTTCTCTTCCCCTCCTTGCCTTGTCTATAACAACACAACACCCAGGAAGGCTACCGCATGACATGATCATGATCACTGAGGCAAACAAAACGACGTGAGGCCACGGCACGGACATGAGCCAACCCCCGGCAATCCAGCAATCCACACAACTGAATTCAAGGCAACGCGGTATTTTTGGGATCGGCTGTCTACACTAACTTTGCTCATGGAGATGTAGAGGTGACATCCCGAAAAAAGTCCTTTCTTACTCCTGTGTGCCCGAAAAACGGCAATCAATCAACAACAGCAGTTTCGCAGCGGGCCGCGGAGCAACTCGGTATAAACTGGCGCAGAGGGACCATCAATTTTGTTCCACATGTTCTCCCTCTATCCCCTTCCGATGAATGTCCTCTCGTGCCTTGCTACGCCATGCAGACACAGCACTCAGGCAGCGTATGTATACGTTGTGCCCGGAACGCACGGAGAGCTGGCTACTCTCTGTAACACGACTGACTGCACTGCCCGGTCTGATGTCGCAGACCTCCTCCTTTCTCCTCCTGTAGGATAAAAAACAGAAAAGAAACAAAATGCACCTATGCCACAAAATACAAGCTTTGGGACACGAACAAGTAGGTCACACACACGCGCTCGTTCG